GGAATATTCACGGAACGAAAAATTCTTTCTCTTTTTTATCCCTTTCTATCTCTTCTTTTTAACGAGAATTCAGCCCGTATCGCGCAATTTGTTTCGTTTTCGTTACATCCTTCCCTGTTATTACAAGATAAGGTAATTGATAAGGTACCAACTTCTGTGAACACTAATATAATATCAACTATATTTAACTCTGAACTTTCTGTTTTTAAATGTGAATGTTTAAACCTTTAATAAAGAATATATATATATATATATATATATATATATATATATATATATATATTCTTTATTAAAGGTTTAAACATTCACATTTAAAAACAGAAAGTTCAGAGTTAAATATAGTTGATATTATATTAGTGTTTACAAAAGTTGGTACCTTATCAATTACCTTATCTTGTAATAACAGTAAAGGATGTAACGAAAACGAAACAAATTGCGCGATACGGGCTGAATTCTCGTTAAAAAGAAGAGATAGAAAGGGATAAAAAAGAGAAAGAATTTTTCGTTCCGTGAATATTCCGTTTAAATAGAAGCACTTGGCCGCCTTATCGCTCATCTCGAAATCGATCGGCACTCACTTTTAGCGTGCGGCTGCGAGCGAATTCCAGCGTGGCATGTCTGGAAACTACGGCACGTCCTAACCTGGTCCAAGCGTGGACAGTGTTTCCCGCCGTTCTTTTCCGAGATCTCGATCACCCGGCTGCGCCTTTGAGTGCCACTTCCGCATCCGTTATCGCACGGGCTCCACGGGCTCCATTCGCTCACCGCGCAGTCCACCACTAACGGAAAAGAGAAAGAAAAAAAGGGAATGAGTTCGACATTAAGATCGTCATCTAGATGGTTTTTCGCAGACAAACGATAAAATTTTCCTGAAACTGCGAAACTGATAAAACGCTCACGTTGATCGCGTCGCGCGAAGCGACAGCGAGATAGTGGGCTTACAAAAGACATTGTGTCGTTTAATCCCTTCGACCCAATTTTGGCACTCAACATTTTTCACACTCCTCTGATAAAGTACGTGAAGCCAGGTCCAATTAACCCAGAGATCATGTTGACCAATGCTTATCGTTTGTGTATTTATTATGAGAGGAGTAGTGGGAAAAGTATTGCGAAATGTTTTTTTTTTAATATAAGAGAAGTACCTATGTTGTGAAAATAAGTACAGTTCGCAATTCCTTTTCCACATGGAGGGAAATTCTGATACAAAATTAACAAACGAATATTTCCGATCAAAATACTGATGAATTTTTGTATCTGATCAGGAAACGGTGAGAAATATCGCTTTATAATTTTTCAATCGATTTATTTAATGAAATTCCACTATGATCGGAAGTATCTGATAAAATTTAATCAAATATCCTGATCGGATATAAAGAGTGACTGGAATTTTATCGGAAATATTCGTTTGTTAATTCGTTTTTATCGAATTTCTCTCAGTGCACCGTTTCTCTCACAATAAATGCACAAATAATACGCGTGTGGCCAACATGATCCTTGGATCAACCTGTGAGCCTCCTATAGAATAGGTTTCCCTCCTATACAGTAGTGTTGATCGCGATGCTGTTCAATAGAATACTTCAAATTTACAAAAAAGTGACATTAAACAATTTTATTGACTATCTAAATCACAGAGTCCAAGCGCCATATTGCTTCTACGGCTAATAGGAGTATAGCATTCCGGTAAGTTGTAATATTTTTGTAATATTTTTGTAATATTTTTGTTAGATATTTTTACAATATCATGACTTAGTGATGTACTTCTTTATATGCAAAATTATAACGTCAAGCTGATTCAAGTTAATCGTGAGATGAATATTCCTACTCAGCAATTATTGAGGCAAACTTTACATTATTGTACATATAAAGTAGCGACTCTCGATATGAAGAATATCTCAATGTCGCCTCTTTGTAAATCTAGTCTGTTCAGAAGACATTATTGCGGGAGGAAAATTGTTATAAAACTGCGGTGGAGACGCGTCCGACGCGCAACATTAAAGCAGTCAGTTGCACGGGCGCGTCGACGTGAGGAAAATTTAAAATAAAAGGCATCTCACGAAAGAATTACGATTTACGGATGTGCTTCTCTAAGCGCTTTGAAACGTTTCGCCGTGCGTTGCTCAACACCGCATTCCGCAACATTATTCGCGGGAAACAAAGAGAGAGGTTCAAGTTGCGTAAAATGCCACAATAAATATATCGATAATCATGACTCTTCGCCATAAAAGAGAAAGCACATGGAATACAAAAGTTGAAAAAAAGTTGAAGGAATAAAAATTCATTTAAGATGCGATACTAGAAGTAGTACTGTTTAATATATTCGAAACTTCAATCCGACGTTTAAAATTGGAAGCTCCAAATTCCATTTGAAAGCTTTGAATCTTTGAATCTATCGAAGTTGTTAATAGAACCAATTTTGTAGAATGTAACAAGATTCTATTCAATTAGCAATAGTTTAAATATCTTCAACTCTTTATTTTACGTATTGTTATTTTTAGCTTATTTTTAAGATTTGTCTAGTTAAAAAATGCGTATTAAAGAAGTACAAATAATAAACAAGAAATTATCAATTTTATTTTAAAATAAATGCAAATTTTTTTATACATTGGAAATCTAAAAAATCTGAATAATCAGATGTCTGAATATATGATTATCCAAAAACGACCGAATATTCACAACTCTTAATTTCGTTATTCGAATATAATGTCTGAAAGCTTCAGGAATACGAACTTTGAAGTGTCAAAAGATTTAAGTTTCGAACATAATTTCTAATCCTACGCAATAACATTCCACTTTACAGAAAACGCATCACGAAGAGATATATAGATCACAATGGTTGAAAAACGGAGTGTCTATAAGTTCTACGAGTTTTCAGTCAATTGGGGTTAATTGAATGTTTCGCGTAAAATATCGTGCAGCAGCCGACGGTTGAGCCGCAGCCGAATTTTCGAAGTATCTAAAACGGGAGATAGGCAATTAGCCGCATGATATATCTCTCGCCTTCCTCTGCTAAACAAAGGAACGATGCAATTTATTCTATCGTTCTAGAGATGTTCCTTTTATTTATATTATAGAACGTCATTACGTAGTTTGTAAAGGCAATTAAAGGCGAGTGCAAATATATATAAACAACGTTTTTCTCTCTTATTCCGATCGAAGACAAAATTGAAAGATCTTGAGAGAAAAAGAGATCGAAAAAACAAAGTCCTTTGAAAAGAGTATGTACAAAGAATATCGAAAAAATGGAATACATAATAGGAATATTGAATATATATACGCGTTAAAAAAACATTTTATATTTGTGTTGCAATGGAAATAGTGTAAAAATGTATAAAAATTTGTATACCAAACTTCCAACATACCATAATTAATTGAAAATATTGTTATGTTATTTTTACTATTTTGTGTTTCGTGCATTAACACCACTTCAAAATATTTAAAATGACACAATTTATATAATGCACATTCTTGCAGACATATGTAAAGTTAACTTCATACAAATAAGTTGTATTATTATTTATTAATATTTATCTTGTATTAAATCAACACAGAAATTAAAGTGAATAAATGGGGACATATAAAATATGTTAAATTTATAATACAAATTTTTTTATATTAAATTTAAATTCACATGCATATATATATATGAATAGTATATATTAATTTTTATATTTATGAGGATTAATAAAGAAAAATAAAAATAAAACAAAAAATGAAAATTAAAAATTGTTTTGTAATATATATATATATATATATATATATATATATATATATATATATATATATATATATATATATATATATATATATAT